ATAAAGGAGATTATTGGAATCACTTCTTTTTAAGCAGAAAAGATCATCCCTTATCAGCCTTTCATTAAAGCCTTATAAAGTACAGCCCTACATTAGTGATTGACAGTCGTCCTTCTTCAATCTCTATTTGATACTAGAAATGAAAGTTAATTTTAATAATTTATTTCTTTTATTTAATAAATAATTAATATTAACATTAAACTTTGAGGGTTATTTATTAGAATTTCAGGTCATTACAACTAGAAATAAATAGAATTATTGATTTTAATATATATTGTATTGAATTATACTTTTAAGACTTTAAAAATTCAATTCTTACAAAGAAGAATTAATCAAAACTGATCAAATATGCAATCAAATTCTCAAGTCATTATAATGTTGTATTCCTTTTGATTATACATAATAGGAAATAAATTTATATCTACTTGAAAACTATTCTAATTTATTATAAAAGGATTTAATATAAATATACAGTACATTTGGTAATGAATATGGATGCAATTCAAATATAATAGATAGGGTTATACTGCCAATAGGCACTTTAATCATTTAAATATAATATTATGAATTATTTTGATAATATATTATTCGATTTTGATTTACAAAATTAATAACTCTAAATTCACACTCTACAATTATTGTTTTTTAGAAACTGATTTATGCTCTGTTAATGCTTTAAGGACCAAATGCATTCAAGCAAAAACTTCACGAGAAGACAAATTATAGAACATTTTAAATTATGGAGTCAAAATTACATATTATTGGTGCTATATCAAATCATTCATAAATTTTGATTAGTATTTTTACATTCATTATTATTCTAATTATTTTTCATTTTAATTTGTAAATCTAATTAAGTAGTTAGCTGATTCATCAATAAAGTACAAATTTACAAACTTTATATATTTATAAATTATTTTAAACATTTAAGTATTGAAGATTTAGTATACTTTCTTAATTTCATTTTCGTCTGAATCAAACTTTCAACATTTTTCCTGTTTACTTATAAAATAATCCTTAAAAATTAATATAACATAATAAAATAATAATAAATTTAACTTTTGATTTCTAATAAATTAATTATTTTGAGCAAGATGCTAATTTTATTAATTTTCTTAAACATATCTAACAATATTAAAATGATATTAATTTATCATCATTACACCTCTTGTTCATTATTATTCAGATTTTTCTATTTTATAAATTATTTTTCATTTTTTAAAGACATATAAAACACTGAAACTTAAATGCAAGTTTATTAATTTTTTTAAGATTTAAATTTCTATTGAAATCTCTTTACCATTAATTAAGAAAAGTGTGATTTGATTTAATTATAAAATAAGAAACAATAAAATAACCATATTTAAATGTGTAATAAATCATTTTAGTAATATGCAGTTATATCTATAAAATTACTATTACCTTTTGAAATACATTGAATTCATAAATTTCTTTAATAAATAAATCTCGATGTAATTTTTCAAGGTGTTTAAAGATTGTTTCCTCCATGTCTGATTTTACAAATTTTTTAAATTATAACTTTTTGTTTCAAACAATATTGTAAAAATATTTCAATACTTTTTCGATATTTCATAAGAGTTATTAGCTAAAAATATTGAATTATGAAAGAGAATCTAAACTACATTATACTCTGATGATTTATTATTTCTCATATTACAAATAGTAATAATAGATTATTTCAAAAATCAAAGGTAATCTGAGAAAGAACCATGATGTTAAGCTTTTTATAATAATATAGATCTAGACTGTGATAGTAAATGCTTTTAGACTGTCTTCAGTAAAGAGAATATTATAATTAAATAAAATCTTTGAACAATAATCTGAATAATCCGGAGTTGAGCTATTAATTTTTAATATTGAATAAACTAAGCAACAGTGTAAATTAATAAAAAAATAAAATAGTATACTTCCTTTTTTGTAATACTCCTCTTATCTCAGACATCTTTTCTATGTTTATCAATGTAAATCAATTGATTAATTCTACATTTGTAAATTGAGTCTATTCTTTTAATTAAAAACCTTTCATAGCCTGTTTACATTAATTTAAGATTGAATCAGTAAAATAATAAATTGAGTTAGATTATTTATCTTTTTTAATGCCTTTTGTTTGTAATAAAAACTCATCATAACTAAAATTATATAATAAACATAATAATCTTGGTCGAATTATAACCAATTTTTTTTAATAGTTTACTACTACAATAATACAAATCTTAAGGTTGATGAGAGATTATTGTTATTATATTATTTATTTCACATTTATGAAGCATTAAAATTTATTCTTAGGTGATTAAAAATATAAAGTGTGGATTGATTAAATAGCAAAATTTTTTGAATTAGTCTTTTGAAATTCTATTATTTTAAAGAATTCGATTTTAATTCATATATGCGTCAAAGTATATTTTGAATATAGTAATAGATATAATTAAATATGAACTGGGATTTACAAATCCTTATATATGATAATGTTTGAGTATTGATAAACTAGGAAGTAAAATTAACAATATTTATATATCATTTTCAATGAGGAATGTATTTTATTCTTTAGTATTTTCCCTCAATGATTCCACTACTTAATAAATTTTTCAAGCAATATATTAAGAAGTTACTCTTTTACCCTTTTACTTCTTAGAAGTATATGTGTGTCCAATTTAGTCAAAATAGCTTTCAAATATTTAAATCTCACTATCCCATTTATAATTGAATCCTTATTGTTAGATTAAGTATCAAAATAACTATAATTCCATGCTGATAAAAATTCTCCATTCATAAGCATATTCATCCTAATCCTCATTATATTAATTCTTCGATAGATAATGATCTCCTATTTTAATTCCTCAAAAAACTATTTTGGCTTTTATCCATTCTTTTCAAATTTAACAATGAAGATCTCTCTATTTCAACTAATCTCTCAATTTTGTCTTATTCATTAAAAACTAAATTAGCTGAAAATTTCCCAAATCCATCTTCATTATTTTTAAATATGCTGGATAAATTTATTTCAATTTATATCAGGTCAACCTTATTTTTATGAGACTTCAAACCTTAATTCAATATTACTACCAACTTAAAATTGGTTAAACTTCTCAGACTAACTTCTGAAACTCAAATTCCTCTATTTTTTGTGTCTCTGGGCATAGATTCCATAACTGATGTTGACTGTTTTCTAACTTATTAGAATTACTAAATTTTATAAATTCCTAGATGGATAGTAATCTATGATTTTTAATTTAATAAAGAGTTGATGAAGACTAACGAAGGAAGAAGATTAAACTTCCAGTCTCTCGCATTTTACTCTTTTATTCTAACTGTGTTTTTTAATGTTACTATCCTGATCTTAATACCAGGTTTATAACTTTCTTTAAAAAATAGATTTTTCTTTTCGTTATTATTAGATATTAAACAAATTTTGGCTAAATTCTAACTATACCGTATCCAAACTTTCGAATACCATAATCATTTTTCATATAATATCTGAAATCATAATTCCCAACTAATCTTTATAATTTTCTCTATGCATCAATCCAAGTACATTTAAGTTCATACAAAATTTGTTCCTATCCTCACTTTTATCTATAAAATGTACTTCACACTAATATTGGTTTATTAACTGAAAAAAAAATCTTAAATCAATTTTTTAATTCCTCCTGTTTAATGGCTAAGCTAAGCTGACTTAAAGTAAATTGATATCCTAAGGCCATTTTAATTTTTAACAAAGATCAACCAATTTGATGTATTTTCTTTTTAATCAATTATTTGCATGATTGATTGATTAATCTATTTGCTAATAAAACTATTCATTATTCAAATAAAATATTATTATCTAATTTTCTTCTCTGATTGATCTTGCCATGCTAATTTATTATTTATCTAATTGATTTTTTTAAATTAAACTCCTTGCCTAATACCCCTATAACATCACGATTACTTAAAATATTCATCTTGCTTCTAGATGTTTATTAGTTTCCTCCAAACTTTAAATATTGATATTTTCACTCAAATTACTCCTTAGAACAGTAAAATTTCTTTGAATTTTACTAAGTTAACTTATCAAAAGGTTAGAATCACGTTCTATTTAATAATAAAATTACCTATTAAATCATCTTTATTTTTTTAAATATCCTATACTCCATTTACTTCTTAATTGATAATGATTGGCATTCTTAATTGAAATTCCAAATCGTCTAGAATCACCATAAGATACTTGATTAATTATTCTAACTTGATAGAGTATTATTATTTAAACTTACTGCTGAATCCTATAGATTCTGATTCATTTTTTACTATTTTTAAATATCTCTAATAACCAATATAGTAACATCAACCAACCTTTGCACTTATAGTCATTGCAACCATAAAACCAGAATTTGGCCCATTTATTATTAACCTAGGAATCGATTTAATATTTGCTCATCAATGATTAGATATACTCTCTCTTATAATATTTCTTATCCTTTACAAAACAATACAATCTCATTCTTTTAATCATCAACTCTTCTATTTCATATTTTTCCTGTTCTATTTTCCCCCAACAATTTTTATTCGCTTCTACCTCTCTTCTAAGAATTATTCTCAAATTGTAATCAACTAAAACTCTCAACTCTTAATAAGAGCCTCTTCTAAAATTTTCAGTAATTTACTATTTATGAGGTATGATTCAAATATTTTTTATAAATAAAAAATAAAAATGAAAAAAATTAAATTCTAACTTGTAAACTTAAAATTTTTTTTTTAATTCATGGACTACTAGAAAAGTTCTAGTATGGAAATTCATATGAAAGTTATGGAAAATAAGTAGGAGTCAACTCAGAGTAAAAAATATTGTTATCTTTATAATTTAAAATTTTCAATGTTTAGATCCAAAAATAATAATAAACCCATTATAAAAGCTAGATCATCATCTTAACCACAACTTTCCTGGAATTTCTCATTAAATTATCCTTGCTCCTGTACTTAAGAATCTTTCAAAAAATTTATATAATGGATTAAGAAAGATTCAATACAGAGATTAAACAAAATAGATTACATATAATAAGATTAAAATTATCACAACCTTATTAGATTTAATAGAGTAAAGAAAGTGTTCCCTTGTAAATGTAAGTTCCAATAATAAATAAAAATTGTTGAATTAATTCCTAAATAATTCATTAGTCTTATCTATTAAGCTATTATAATTAATAATCATTTAAGTATATGCAATCAATAAATAACAAAAAAAAAATTTATGGAGAATATTCGTTCGCAATTGTATTCAAATCCATAAGATTGAAAGGAATCTTTATTAAAATACTGAAAGGATTATATAAGATTGTAAATTCATTTCAATATACCATTAGAAAATGAACTGTTAATTATATGTACTCTAGAGCACAAGTTAAATCTGATAAACATCAATTTGAAATGATTGTAATTTATACTCAGTCTAAGAGAATTATTTCTAAACTTATTATTATTTTATAAAAGAAAGTTTAGTCATTTCAAAATATTATTCTATTTTATTTACATTAATAATTTTCTACTTAAAGAACATCAGTTAAATCAGACAATTCTAAATGTAAATATTTGAATATTTATAATTTATATTTTGTTTATGATATAAATGTTATAAAATACCTTTTATTATTCATCAAATCTCCACTTTTATTATTTCGATGTTACAAAGATCCGATATTATCACAATTATCTTTGATCAAAAATTAGACTTAATTGTAATTAAAAATTGTTTGAGTAAAATATGATGATTATTTTGGAAAAATAAGTCGGTTAATTTAAAAAACAATTAAGAATTGGATTTAATTGTAATCTTTATATTATCAATATTCCTTGTGATATATTGATTACTCTAAAGAATAACCAGATTATTATTAATTGTATGAACAAACAGAATATTTGTTACTGATTTCTAATTATATTAAACTAGTCAACCTAGATTTTATGATAAGATTTATCGTATTAATCTATAAAAATATTGTTAAAATATTAAAGTGTTTTATAAAAAAAATTTAGGAAAATTTTAATATTTATATACAAAGCCTTGATAGTTTGTTTTTTAACTTTACATATTTATATTATGAGTGACTGAATAGATTAATGATTGGGTGTTTTAGATCCCTTTTGGCCTCCAATTCCAAAACTCAGCTACTACTTTTATTTGCTTCACAGAGTTGTAGTATAACAGACCACTGCAGTTGCTGCACTATCGTTATTCTATATCAGTAGAGTTTTATTGCTGAAAGCAAGTTGGTATGATTTGTTTTTTAACATTATTTTGAATATAAAAAGTCAAATCCAGAATTATTATTTCAATAATCACTCTTGCCAAAATTTAAATCTATAGTGCAAATATTTTGCACTTATATTAATTTAATTTAGTTGAGCAAAAAATGGGTGCTATGAAATATGCAATATGAATTTTATTAATTTATCATCTAGTCATTCACCAGAACTATTAGAACTAAACAACAACTCTTCATTTTAATTATTAACCAACCTTCATAGTAATGCATAAATCCTCCTTTATTTGTTAACATTTCCTACGAAACATTTATATTTATATGTATTAAACCCATCTTCGCATGAAGCTCCTATTAAATTTTTATTTGTTGAGTTTGAATTTATTAAGATAAAGGAAATGCTATTTTTTTTAACAATTATGTAGAAATTTAAATTCCTGCCAAAGCTAAATAATTTGAAATTAGTTGAAGAAAGTAATACATTTACTTTGATGACTATTTTTAATTATTATAAAAAGTAATAGATGAAAGGTGGATTAACAGTGATACTTTTTTTAATCTTAATTTAAATGAATAAATAGGATTGCACCAGCTAATTATAAGAATTAAATTCTTTATTGAAGAGAAATCACTAGAATGTGTTATCATACTAAGCAGGAGCATTGATTTCATCTAAAATGATTAATTACTTTTATGATGGGAATAATGGGGATTGTTTAAGAGATGAAATTTATAAAATACTGCCATACGGGTCGTTCTATACTGGTTGTCAATTAGGTTAATACATATCCATCAGACTACTCTAAAGGTATTTATTGAATACATTAAAACTTTGGTTTTGGGAATTTGGCTATCTCTATAATGAAGGCATAAGATATTATAACATAATTGTTTAGGCTAAATTAGATCAAAGGAAAAAATCAAATTTACTAGAGCAACACATAAAACCCAGCAATAGGTCTAATGACAATAGAGTTTCCAGATTAGTTTGTTGATGAATTTTAATTAGTAAATGTAGGAGGTAATACTTAGAATAAAGCTTTACAGCTCTTTAAAGTAGAAGCTTATTATAAATTTTCATGATTTTTAGAATTAAATTAATATTTATTTTCAATCAATTGTTCGATTTATAATAATCTTAACCTAAATTTAAATCATTAAAGCTAAAATTTTGCGATTAGATGAATTAAATATATATGATAAATTATAAATTAACAGATTCAATATATCTCTGGCATAATTTCAAATATTCAGATAGTTCCATTCTATTTTAATAAAATCTGTTCAAAATAGATTAATAATCATTTGATCCCATTATAGCCACTAGACTAGACAAATAATTGTAAATTTAAACTGCATCCTTTATCAGTTAATTCTAAATGAATAAACTTATATATAGTAAATTATATAATTAAACTTAAAATAATCAATATATAATTAAAATAATCCTTCAGATTGAATTTCAAAATGTCATAGCATTCATTTCAAATCAATAACAAGAGAAAAAGTATAATTCAATAAGAAAATTTAAGATTAATAAAAAGTATTTCAAATATTATAATAAAAAACTGTATTTAAGCTTGTTTGATATATTGTTTGGGGGGATATTAAGATAGTAACCTTATTATTGATTAAATATATTTTCCAAATGTAAAACTTTGTTAATCATAGTTCAAATGAAAATAGGAGATTGTTATAACAAGAAAAATTTTGTTTGTTTGTTGAGATTAAGCTGATAATGAGAATTAAATAATGGATTTGAAATTCTAGTTATGAATATAAAATTGGAATATAATCATATTTTAATCTCTATCAATTCTAATTGGATAAGTGTTAAAGTTAGATATTTCATTTTCCTAATTTCATTATATTATTAATATAAATTTCTATATATTCTTTTTTACATGCCCAATAATATAGAAAAATTATAACTTACAATGAGAGAAAGATTTAGAAACTTTAAAGAATTTAATTGATGTAGGGATGATATTTTTGAATCAAACAAATAAACTTTGTATAATTACTTGTAAAACTTAGAATTTCAAAAACTAATACGAAGATCAAAAGTGAGTTACTTTATATTATTAATTAAATTCTATTATTGTGTTTTGTTCATTTCAAATAAAAATTATACTCATTTTCAGAGCATAAATTTTTTGATTGAAATATTGACAATGAAATGAATACCCAAGATTTGATAAGTATAGTGATACTGACACTTATAAAAAATCTCCATATGAATTTTACTTCTTCTTTAAAATCTTTCAATCTTTTGAAAACTTAAAAAAAAATTATGAGTTCTCATTCCCTTTCTCTCCCCAATTTAATTTGTATACAATAAATAAAGTCATATTTAACATAATATAACTTTTTATGGCCTATTAATAAAATTAAACCTACAAAACATATTATTTATTAATCAGATATTTAGTGCAATTATAGTTAATCTTTAATTTCTATTTAAGTATTATTTGAGAATGAATTCTATTTATGTGTTCAAATTAAAGCATATATTCTAATAAATTATAAAATTTAGATAAAATCGATTAATATTTAATACTATTAGACTAAAATTTGTAAAATTATTCATAATTCAAAATATGAACATGAATAAATTTACGATGATGTTCAGATTAACAAAATGTAATTTTATAGTGATGAAAAACAAATCTAATTTAAGAAAACACATACATATTATAAGTATTATAAATTGTTAAAATTTATAAAGTATTGATTCTATATACATTAATTTTTTAGTGCAAGTGAAATTAATCATTAAAAATCAATGAATATTAGATGGAGAAAAAATAAAGAGTTTATGAAACTAAGAATGATAAAGTTGCCACTAAATAAAAATAAGAATATAAAACATGTTGTTGGTTATTTAGCATTCAATAATATAATTATCATTGAAGTAATGTATTAATAATATTATTATTGCAAATCTGAATCTATGAATAAATATATTTCCTATTTTGATGTAATCTCATTATGATTATGCATATTAATTTTATAAATCTGCATTTTTTAGTGAATCATTACTAAGTTTCCATAATTATATTAGAATTAGACATTGAATGTGTAAAAATTAAATGCTCTTTTTTATATAAAAATTCACTCATTTATTATTGAAATGAGAAACTTATATACACTTATTAGCTTTTAGAATTCTTTATATGTTCTACTAAAGCATATTTAAATATTCATATAATTAAAATTCATTCTAGTTTTTTCTTAATTTGAAAATTTTTTTACAAATCAATTTTTCTCTAAATATTAATAGACTGATAGGGATTTAAATAATTTTGAATATTTTTTAAAGTTAAAATTTCAGGTTTTCTGTAGTTTTAAAATTAGTTTTCTTTCAGTGTGCAAGAATTATAAAATATTTTATACGTTAATTTTGAAGAAATACTTTAAAGATTCTTCCTTTTATTATTATAAATTATTGGAGTCATTAATAATGATTTGAAATTTGATAAAAAAAATTCTACTTTTGTATTATTTCCATATAAGCTTTCTAATATAATTTCCAAGCTAATAGTTAGCAATTTTTAAAACAAAATTTCCAAACAACAATTAGAAAGTGTGTCATCGTCTTAGTAGAAAAATTAAAAAAAAGTAAAACAACAATTAATTCAAAATTAAGATATATTATTTATAATTATACAATAAATTTCGTTAAATCATCTTTATAGAATAATTCTATTTGCAATATAATCCTTTTCATTTTTTTAATTCAATTATAATAGACTTCAAGTTTATGAATTATTGGATTTGGATATATTTGATTTTAATCTTTCTTCTTTTAGTTTTTATCTTATATTTTTGTCACTGAGTTAGTTTATGACTCTAGAATCTTCTTGTAAATAATAAACAATATTGTAAAGCATTTCAAAAAATTTTATTCTATATTTTTTAATATATACAGAATAGAACAAGTTTATGTTGGGAAAGATTAAAAATTACCATAGCTAATTCCTTTACATGAAGCATTCATATTGATACATTCTATTTAATTAGTTGCTGTTAATGAAGAACAATTAGTGAA